AAAAACCTACGGCTTGCTGTATCTGAGACCACTACCAAGGAAACTCCTGCCCACATGCGGACACTGTTTGAATGCCAAGATGAGCGGTGCGGTTTAAACAACATGCGATGAAGCTTTTGTTACTGCTTTTTATGCAAAAAAATTTCACAGGTCAGCTAAACATAACTCTGAAAATATAAATCTTCCTACGAATTGAGGCAAATAAATGCAAATAAATGCGATTCCTTCAACTTGGCTTCACTTGAATCCAAACAATTTCGGACAACATTTTCCAGTTCTGGAAGGGATACCTTCTACACAAATTTCACTTATTTTGGAGTTCCACAATAGTATAATCAATACTAATAAAAAATTTGGTTGTGTCTTTCGTAATGACATAGGAACTTCCATCGATATGAGACTACTCCCAATTTCGCCAAAATTAGTGTTCATTTCTCTTAATCAACCTAAATAAAGGCTTTCGCAGAATTAAATCCACTCACTGAATTAAAATTATGTGACCAAATATATGCTAAAGTACGAAGTCAAATTTCATCATGAAAGTTGCACGGTCTTTAGCAAACACTGTACTCTTTTACACAGTTTTATTCGGCGTGCACAGGCAGAATGTCTTTAGTTGGTCTAACTGGAATGGCCGTTGTTGTGCTTATGTACAACTATTTGCAGGTGGTTTACGTTCTTTCAAGCGTGCATCAAAGTCTTCGTTTGATCACGTTGGATACATTATCACCCTTAAAAGGGAGGAAGACGCTCACTGGCTTTTTTGGCACTGATATTTTGAGAGGATTTTCTTGTCAATTCTGCTAGTCGCCTGATCTTTGCTTTGTTCAACTTGTATTTATTCTTACCACCGCATTAATTTTGTAATGAAGGGCCCCCTTGGGCCTTAAATATACAATTTATTGAGTTAATATTTATTAGGGAAGTAATACCGAGTTCGCAGAGAAATATGGTTGCCTACAGCATCTGGTAGCAATACCCGCCTTCCAGGCACAACTATAGCCTTCCTAGGAATGTGCCCAGTACGCTGTCTAGAGCTCCGATCATGGTAGATACAGTTGAACCGTCGAGTTCGACGATGATTAGTTAATATTCAATGAGATCGGTTACTGGCTAATTAAAGTATTTTATTGCTTTTTGCATAATCTTCTCATTTTTCTTACTGAGGGGCATTCGTTAGTATTCGAGTTGGATTTCCATTCGTGCTGGTAATTAGTAGAACTGACTTCTCCCTAGTCCAACAGTTGTGTGTATGCCACAGCTTTCTCCGCCTACGATCTGCACGTCTTAGGAACCTTTTTTTCTGATTCTACCAAACATTTTAATTGCAGGGACACTCAACCCCATAATCCTGTCTGACTTAGGAATACGGAAACTAGCTGTGACCGAACGCGTAGGGGTTATCGCTCCTTCTATGCTCGCACGTGGCAGTTTAATGAAAAAATCGATAACGCGTAGGCAATTAGTCGGACTAGGCGCAGTCGGACATGGCAGCTAAACGCGAGGAGGTTCGCCGTAAACTCAACGATCTGCTTTTTCGTACCGGGGAGCGAGAAAAGATAAGAGCCAGAGTAGAGGAAAATTTGAAGAAGAGCAACTGGGACGAGAAAATGAAGGTAATCTGCAGGGAATATGTCAAGGAGAAGGGCGTGGACATGGTCTCCCTAGACGACATCGTAATGGGAGTAACAGCTGCAGCACGAAATGCCGTTCCAAAGGAAGTGAAGCTAGATGCATTACAACGCGTGACCCAGTTCATGGAGAAGCACAATATAGACGTCGAATGAGCATTTTGTTTTCAAGCAGCTATCGCCAAAGTCAACAGCATAATAAACTACACTGCTCTGCTGGCTTGTTCACAGGAGATACAGCTTCACTTTCCTATTCAGTAAAATTCCGTCAGTCTTTGAACATATTTTTATCATGATTTTGGTTAATCTAATCTAAGAAAATTTGTCAACCAGCAGAATTTTCTTTCGTTTAAGTCGCTTCTAGACGACCAGGATTCCCTAAGACTAGCAGGCCAGTGTACATACTGAAGGCTACAACAAAGATAAATGATAAATATCAGCTCAACGTGACAGAACCTCAAGCCCGTATTCTGTCGATGGTAACTTCGCTTAAAACCACAACTCTTTTTTCGTGTTCGTTCAGAGGGCAGTAATTTTTATTTGTATATAAGTTTGGGAAGATTAAGACTAGGTCCGGGTTGGCTAAAGGTCCCACTAAATTTTTACGCTAAAAGCGAATACTACTACCAGTGTACCTGACGGCAGTTCGATCGTCGTTTTTGACGATGTCTAATACGCGCTTCACAACAGGCTGTATGCAAGCGCAGTGACGTACGCGTGAATTAGATTATACTGAGGGTAGACTTTCCCTGTGTCTACCACACGCCCTCCCCTAACCCACCTGAGACCGGTTTCATGGCCAAGTCAGGAAGTTCAGCGGCAGGAGAGGTTGCCTCTTAACCCATAACATCGACAAGGACTGTCAAGCATCAGGAAGTTTATCTCCTACGTTCTCTTCAGTAAACTGAGACGACACAGCTAGCTAGTAACCCGTAGCTCACAAGACGTACTTTATCTTCAAAGGAACAATCTACACGCAGGTGAAGAGGCGTGTAGTGATTAGCCCGCGTCGAGCTGAGCTCTCCCGAAGACCCACAGAAGTTGGTTTCGACGTCTGGGAACAGCCAATCACAGTTGCCGCAAAGTTGC